CAATAAGTAGGAACCCAGCTATAGATGCTTATTTCTACTAAGAAACATGAGGCTATTTGTAAAGATAATGACGACCGCATTTCACTTTGCTGTGCCCGTACTGTCAGCGACTTACCCATGGTTTGTGATGACCTCATATTTCACAGAGGATTCTGCATTTGGGCGAGCGACACATTCATCCACATAGATTCTCAGTGGTACATGGTTATCCTTTCTTACTGATGCCTGGATGTTGATGAGGTCCCCAAGATAGTAAGTAGGGTCAGGCATCAGTTGTGACCAGCTACCTAAAACGCAATATTTTAATAGAGCATCACAGATCAACATCACAGATAAATCATCACAGATAAAACAACTTGCAGCCTGCGGGCAACCCCAAAATCTTTTTTTTTTTTTTTGGTAATTTCCCAAGCCCCTCCTTTCCCCAATGCAAATTTCAATGATATGGTTTTAGTGCTTTAAATATTCTTTCAAATGCCCATTGGGGATTTAGAAAGGGCTACCTATCTCTCTCTCTGTCCCAGCTATACAGCACAGGCAAACAGTCTTCTTTCAAAACACCCTCCAATCTCTCACTGAACTCAGGTAGGCAACTTTACTTAATACTACAACTTTCTCTAAGTCAGTGAAAATGGTATTCTACTTGGTTAGCACACTCACTGTCGTAGACTTCCAGTGCAAAGGCCAGACTCTGTGTGTCCATCACGGTAGAACTGAAAGGGATCCAAGTCGGTCGGAGACCAAGGGAAGAGATGTTCCACAACCTAGATATAGAAACCAAGTCTCAACTAGTCTCATCCTCTTTTGCTTTCCACGAGATAATCATTCTATGAAACGCTTGATGTTGCAAAGAGGAACATCGACAGGACCATCTACTACTGTTTGAAATCCCAGGAATGAAGAGGTCTGAGAGCTTCTCTCTCTAGCAGTCTTTGGCAGAACCTTACCCTTACGGAGGGAAGAGAAATTGCTGCTTGGGAAAGGAGGCATTGCCCTTATCCTCTTTGCTGTCCTCTATACATCACCCAGAGTCACGTTTTGTGAGATGGGCGGCCATATAAATATGATAGGTAAATAAATACAGTAAATAAACAAATATTTTTGACAGCCAGATGTGTTAGTGGAGAAAGACTAAATTTTCACACTTTACTAGGACTCCAGTCTTTGAATTCAGTGCTTCTAAAATTTGTGATCAGCTTCTTCTTCTAATTTATCCACTAGAAGTTGGATAAATGACATTATAAAACTTCCTACAAGGGAAGATGCAGTTAAGTGCAAATCCAATTCAAATTAATCTCAGAGCTCAGGAGACCGGTGGCAATTATGCCAGTGCCAAGCATGTAAGAGATGTTCTACATAAGTCGCTTCTCGGTCTGCTTTCAATACTGTCGATAACAAACGAGGGAAGCTAGAGTCCCACATTTCAGTATTTGCGACTCGATCTATAGAGACATGGAGTAATTACGGCTGAAACTATTTAGCTTCTCTCACCAGCATGTTACTCCATGACTTACCTAGGATAGAAACAGTTGATAGCATGGGAGAATGGATTGGTCCGGATCACCCCATCTGGAGCTGGCGGCACATAGTGGAGAATGTTCCTATAATGGATGCTGCCCGGAAGAAGCTAGGGGTCAGATAAGAAATATGCAGAAACTAACGTTAAGTCTGTTCCAGGTTTTTAGAAAACGTTACATTCTAAGATGACTAAGGGCCTTTCCCCACTGCTGACTTAAGGTGCCATTCATCCATCCTTGAATAAACAAACGTGAATTCAATAAGATATTGCTGCCTCTACCTGCTGACCCTTATCCTATGTCTAACACCTCTGTCCTGACTCACGGACAAACACTATTATTTAGATTTTGCATAATTTTGTTCCAACATTCTGTTGAGTTGGGAAGAATGAAAAGTGATCACAGTCGTAAATAGAGAGAGCTACCATATTTAGGATTTCTCTCCTTTGCTTTCCTTATATAGCCAGCAAATTCTGACTTCTGAATTCCTCCACTCTCTGCTTGGGAGACAGTGTGCATATGGGGGTGGGAGTGTTGCTCCTGCCATTTCAGCCTGGTACATCAGTCCACTGTTCTGCCATTCCAGCCTTGCACCAACCAGGCCACAGAGTTCAAGCTCTTCCTGTCCTCCCAGCTGAGCAGTCTAGCACCATTGTGCAATTCTGACAGAGCCCCCAGCATAGCACAGCTCCTTAAGGAGACAGCAGCAGCAGGTGGCAGAGAAGACTGAACAGAGTTCGGAGAAGAGGGCTCACATGTGTCAGTCTGATATGGCCGATACTCAGGAAGCCCCAGTAGGGACAGAACATGGCGAAACAGACTGGCTCCAGGTTGGCAAAGGAGTGAGATGAGGTCATATATTCTTCCCTTATTTATTCAACCTATATGTTGAATATATATTAAGAGAAGCTGGATTGGAAGAGGATGAGCATGGTTTTAAAAGTGGAGGAAGACACATCAACAAGCTGCGCTATGCTGATGACATTGTTCTAATAGCCGAAAAAGCAAAGGATCTGCAAGGTCAAGGAGCATAGTGAAAAAATGGGACTAAAATGAAATATAAAGAAGACCAAACTAATG